CAATATTGAATGGAGCAACCAATTCCACAAGACCCGCCAGCAGGTTTCAGGGAGCTACATGCCATGGACCTCCGACACACTGCAAAGAACTGGGTGCTAAAGCATGGATTCTACATCAACATCTGGGAGAATCGGTCCCAATGGGTGGTGCAAGGGATGCCGGAGACGAGACCGATGGGCTACCACGATGGGTACATGCAGTGGTATCGGAAGTTCACCATGAGATGGGTGTCAAAGCAAGGTGCTGTGATGGGGTCGTTGGTAAGTCATCCTAATCTCCCTCATTCAAAAATCTATTTATTTTAAGGTTTAGTTAATTTGATATGTGGCGTGCTTTCCTTAGGTTGATGGTTTGGAACACGCCAAGTACACTCTCGAAAGTGCTCCAACCATGGATGAGCGGAAGACTACTTGGTTGACCCGACTTATGAACAACCTCCTGAGTTGTACCAGAGAGCAAATGAGGGATGTCGTGGCCTATCCTCCCGTTCCTGCCCCGTCACGACCCTCATTCCGTGATGATGCACCCATTGTGCCCCCGGTTGACCCCCTGAAGGAACAAACGCAGGCCTCTGCCTACGTTCGATGAGGTGCGTACAACTCAAGAAACCGAGATCCCTGAACCGTTCGAGTACCAGTGGGCACCTACAGCGAAAGCCGGTGGAGGGTCATCGAGTCGTGGAGCATCTCAGGAGTGGGACACTTTCTCTCATGGGTTCTCTCAATTCCAACATCAGCAACAGAGTTCAATGTATCAGACCCCGCAACAACAAACTCCGCAACCTCCGATCATTCGCCAAGCTACCGCTCCATCTCAGCCACCACCACCAACATATGTAACCCCAGTTGGGGCTCGGGTCAAGAGAAATCCGCGACCAGCCGTTGAGCGAGCCCGCCAAGAAGCAGCGGCGGAGGGGGGAAGAAGGGGTCGAGGACATCGTGGAGGACGAGGAGGAAGAGGTGGAGATGGGGTCCAAAATGAAGCAAATGAGTGAATTTATCGTTTTATCCTGCAGTAGTGATCTATCCATGTTGTTTTGGTGCTTTTTAGGTGTTGTTATTTGAGTTTGCATTGTCTAAAAACTATCCTACGCACTTAAGTTGTCGAATGAATTTTCTGGATCATTTTATCAAGAATCAGTATCTTCCCTCATCGTTCTTCTGCATTTGAGCGAATACGTCATGTGCTACTGAATGACCTTGCAACTCCCTCCCTATAGCTAGCTGTAGCCGAGCAACTCGCCACTCGTTGACCTTCCAATAAGACATTTCCACGATGACAGAAATAGGCATCGCTCGAAGACCGTTGTACACATTATTTATACTTTCTCCATGGTTGGTAGTTGCAATGCCCCATCTGGCCCCGTTGTCCATATGGAACGTCCACATGAGCAACTCTTGACCTTCAGCCCATACTGCTCCAGCTCGGTGGGTCTGACGGATCGTTTTCATCTTCTGCTCGTACTTTTTTGGTTGATGTGCAACCGCTAAAAGGTGAACAAAAGACTAACTGGTCAATACATGATGAATAACATCAGCTTATCAGCTTAATAAACACAAACTTAAATCGAATAAGAAAAACATTAGTACTTGCATTCCAAAGTAGATTTTTGATGTCTTTCTTCTTCCCAAATTTGTGTTGGAAATTGGCGAGCCAGTGTCGAATACACCATCTCCATCTCCATCTCCACCCCCACTCGTCGGGAAAACCACCAACAGCATTCCTTATCCCCGCATGTCGATCTGATATAATCGTAATATCTTCCCGCTGTGTCACGTGTTCGTGCAGTTGGTCAAAGAACCAAGCCCAACTTAAGCTGTTCTCCCCTTCCACTAATGCAAATGCAAGCGGGAAAATCCGCCTGTTTCCATCAACGCCAGTGGCAATTAGAAGACATCCTCTATACTTCCCAGTAAGGAAAGTTCCGTCAACCTGAATAAAAATTTAGGATATAATTAGTATGAAATATACTTAACAGCAAATAATACAACATTTAAAACTGGAACTAGTTGGTAAAATACCTGAATAACCGGTATGCAGAACCCAAAACCGTCAATGCATGGTTTAAAAGCCCAAAAAAGACGATGGAACATCAGCTTATCCTGTACTCAACTTGATCCTCAGTGTATACATTGTTGTATACTGGGACGAAAACAGTCCCAGGATTGGACTCCTCCATTGCTCCCATAAGTCTAGGGAGTAAAGCATACGAATCCTCCCAATCACCATACACCTCAGCCATGGCTTTCTGCTTACCATGCCATGCTTTTTTGTACCTTATCGTGTAAGAATGTCGATCCTTCACCTCTGCCATGATAGCTTTCACCTTGATATCTGGTTGTGCTTCTATAAGGTGCTTAATAGTTCTCCCAACCTTCTTTGCTTTTAGTTGCCTGTGATCTTGGGAAAGTATAGAAGAGGAGCATGTGTGGATCGTCTCAGCTTTGCGAATCACCCAAGCACCCTTTCTCTTCATATTTGCAGCCCGCAGTTGCCACGTACAACCCTCTGCATCATGCTTGCATATGACATGTAGTTGTTTACTGTCAGAATATTTTACCTTCCACTCGAAATTGCGCCTCAACGCCTCTTCTGTAAAAGCATCCTGCACAGCGTCTTTCGATGTGAATGCCATACCCACCTCCAAATTGGCCGTCGGATTGTACACTGGCATAGGGACAAAGTCGGGGGGATCATTCTGACTATGTAAAAATTGAGTTGGAACCTGTGTGTAATATGGCGTGGGTGCCTCACGAAATGCCGCCTCATCCTCGTTATCATCAGTATCTTCCTCCTCCTGGCTCACTGATATCAAATCTTCCTCAGTATCCTCGTCGCTCGACTCGAATGGATAGCTCGGGCTAGAAGGATCAACATGACCACGATCACCAACATCGTCCTCTCGCTCATGTGAAGTACGCCCTGATCGAATGGTATTCTCGATTCCATACCACTCTGGCCCCCAAGCAGGCCATTGAACACCATCGGCCTCAACAAATGGGGCTGGTTTAGGAGGTTGCGAGTATTTGTCCCATCCTGCACTACTCGATCCACCGTAGTTGATTGAACCACCACCCTCCCCGTAACCTCCTGTATAACCACCGCCTTGGTAGTTGCTCGAACTACCACCCCATTCGTACCCTCCTGCAAAACCATCATCATAAGAATACTGGTGAGAATGAGATTCACCGACCGCCTCGGTCTCAACATACACCTCTGCAAGCCGGACTTGGTTATCGCTTAGGAACTGTAACATCATCATAACCGCGTCATCATCGTTTATGACAACTTCTTGGAACACGACCCCGCCAACACTCATGTCTGGATACCGGTAAGTAATTTTGCCAAGTCTCGTCTGTCCGCTCGTACAAACCCTTTCTGCACAAAGATCACAGAGTTCTTGAAAATTGAATCGGGAATCAATTTTCAGCATAATGGATTCGCCGTCCTCATAATCAATGCCTATGTCAGAGTTTGTCACCCTTCCATTCCACCGAATAGTAAGATGAAACTTCTTGAATTTACCCATATCTACAATTTACAATAAGTATCTATTAGCTTAAAGACAGTAAAATTAACCAAAATCATATTGTACAACTAATATTAAATCATACCATAACTAACGAAAATAAATTCAACTAACTAACAACAACATAATACGAAAATTAAATCATACTATAACTAACGAACATAAGTTCAACTAACTAACAACAACATAATACGAAAATTAAATCATACTATAACTACTAAAAACATAATTAAACTATAATACGAAAAGTCTCAACATACCGAAAAATTTCTGTTCTGTGTATTATGCTCGATTTTGGCTGCTGAAATTTGAAGAAAGGGGAGTGGTTATGTTTTTACAACTGCTGGTGGTGTGCAATTTATAGGAAAATCTGCCTACTATTCACCGTTTTTGTCGAAAACGGTGAACACCATCACCGCGTTTGTCTCAAACGGTGAATAGGTGGTAGCTGCGACCTAATTTTGACCTACCAGGGGTGGGAAACGTGGGAAATGATCACCGCGTTACTTAACAACGATGAATGGGTTCACCGTTTTTGACCAAAACGGTGATGTGTTCAGCGTTGTTAATTAACGCGGTGAAAACTTAACCGTTTTAGTTTGAAACGGTAAATACTTCACCGTTTTTGTTTAAGACGATGAAGTATTCACCGTGTTCGTCAAACGCGGTGATGACCTTCACCGCTTTTGTCTAAAACGGTGATGCTCAAACATGTGTACTTTGGGAAATTTTTTTATAACTCATGTATTTTGGGAATTTTTTTTAAGAACGTGTGTACAGTGGGATTTTTTCCGGATCTCCCCAGATGTCGAAGATGGGATCGGTGGGGCTGTGATCAAATCCGGTGGTCGATCGGAAGGATTAAGGATGATCGCCAGCGAAAAACTTTCAGAGCTCATTTCAAAAACTTTCATATAAAAAAAATCAAGAAAAAAAAGAAGATAAGTTCATCTTAGTTATAGATGATATTTAATTTAATAATTCAAAATTTGCATAAAGTAGTGGGTGTTTAAATATTTTTTCGTACAATAAAATTTGAAGGATTAATAGCAAGAGAAGCCTCTGTACTATAAAAAGATAACAAATGAACCTCTATATTATGATTTCATGTAAAGAAGACCCTGTACTTACTATAGTTAGATAACAAATGAGTCCTTCTGTTGAGATTTTCGTTAAGGCGTTAACCTTGATCTCAAAATACCCAATGGGCCCTTATATTTATTCTCGGCTAAATCGCAAGTTTGGTAACTAGAATTACTTAAAAATTTCACGTCTGCAATTAAAATTAATTTATTCCATTTGTAGTCACTTAAATTAAGTTAGTAGTTCAAGTTTGGTCACTGGCCATCAGTCTCCGTTAATTTTTAGTGATGTGGCGTCAACTCTTATAGTTGACCGTCAAATGAGTGACGTGGCAATTAAAATAATAATAATAAATAAAATTGAATTATTTTTTTATTTTCCACCTAATTACAATCCACTTATCAAAACCCATAAATCAAACTAACAAAATCGAAGATCGAAACCTGAAAATACATAATTTCCATCGACATGACGAGTTGTGGATTGACGATGCCAGCAACCGATGCCACTCTCTTCGTCGTCTCACTTCCCTCCACCGCCAGATTACCAAACCTGGTTCTCCGGGTCCGGCCTAATCTGGGTCTCCCGTCAATGGTGTCCTTCAGGATGAGGGCCACCATGAACGAAACCGCCTCCTCCGAGGAGATGAGCTTCTACGATCTGCTTGGGATACCGGAGTCGGTGAGCTTGAGAGATATTAAGCTGGCTTACAAGCAGCTGGCGAGGAAGTACCACCCGGAGTCCTAGACGTCTCGCCGCCGGATCGGGTCGAGGAATACACCTAGAGATTCATTCGGGTCTAGGAGGCCTACGAGAGGCCGTCGGATCCCCGATAGAGGGCGCTCTATGATCGGGACATGGCCAGAGGGCTTTACCTTGCCTTCTCCGCCAGGAGATGGTCCTCATACGACGAGGTAATTTCATCTGCAAAAGCTTCTTCCGTTTTTGTTCTTTCTCCTCCCCTGATTTTCAAATCTCTGAAATTGGGGATATTTTGGGATGAAGGAGAATTGGGCTTACAATTTCGAATATGTTCAGTCTCTTGAAGGAGAATTTTGCATAAGTGCCCTGTTCTGTCAAGTCATTCTACATAAGGAATAGAGATCTGTGCTTTTGGATCCCTTTATGCCTATTCTTGTGAAAAGGTTACGGATTTGGAAGGAATTTGTGTTTATCCGATTTGGGTTCTGACAATTTGCAGGAAATTGGTGAAAGACGAAACTGGAGAAACCAGTGGCAGTCCCAGGTCTCTCAGTTGAAGAGAAGAAGCGAGAGCAGAAGTGTAGGTGGAAGTGATAACATGTCATGGCCTCATGGGCAGCTCGAATGCGTCGCCAGAGGGTAGAAATGGCTACCAATGGATTGTAGAACAATATAATTATAATTTCAATAATCTCTATGTTTGGTATTTAACTTGTACCAACTACTTCAAGCTTATGGGCGGATGCCTTTGTGGATCCACCATAGGGGGGTTTTAAGTCTGGATCTGAAGTTTGTATGTATATGGTAGATTTTAATTTTTTAATTTTTAAAATAATTAGGTGGAAAATTTAATTAATAACTAGGTGGAAAATAAAAAATAATTAAATTTTATTTACTATTATTATTTCAATTGCCACATCACTTATTTAACGGTCAACTATAAGAGTTGACAGCCACATCAGCAAAAGTTAACGGAGACTAACGGTCGGTGACCAAACTTGAACGGTTAACTTAATTTAAGTGATTACGGATGGAATAAATTAATTTTAGTGGCATACGTGAAATTTTTAAGTAATTCTAGCGACCAAACTTGCAATTTAGCCATTTATTCTCCCTCGGGCTCTCCCTCAATTTTTCATCCAAAAACAAAATCGAGAACTTTCTTCCCATCCCCAATATTCAATTCCCTAGCCCACCCTTGTAAACTTTCAGTGAATAGAATCAATGGCGGAGGCAGGCCCTTTGGGCTTTGTCTCGGGACAGGGGTAAATTTTGGTGGAACAAAAATACACCATATATATTGATATTGGTGATGGAACACAACACCTATAGGTAGTATTAGAATACTTTGTCTCTACAACACAACTCATTACTTGTCCAAATTTAACATAAAATTAATTTATTATATTATAAACGAAATTCCAATTGCAATAAAGACCTAATCGGGTCTCTTTTCTCCTTATGCCTATTCGATCTTTTTCCCTAAAACTCTGAAATTGTCTAGTAACAACGGCAATCTCACTAGTTTTGATCTACCAATTACAACTGCTAGTGTAAAAAAAGCATTTTCAGCTTCGAGTTATATTAAGAACAAGTTTCCAAGTCGATTTGGTGACCAGTTTGCTAATACTTATTTAGTAAGATACATTGAAAGAGACTTATATAATAGTGTAGACAACGAATGTTTTTGCGTTTCTTTCACTATATGAAATTTCTTCGTAGTTGTTTCTGAAAAGTACGATTGTATAATCGATTTTTTTTTTTAATTTATGAATGAATTATTCGGATATAATTATTTTTTATTATTTTTTATTAAATAATTCTTTTATTATATACTTATATAGTTATTATTTAAGTTATGAAAAAAGGACGGGGTGGTTTGAAATGCTGCCTCCGCTACTATCAATCACAATAAGTTTAAAATACTTGCACGTCAAGTGAACATCTTCTGGTACAGTTCATGGTTAAGCACAAATTTTGAGAAATTTAATGAAATCTCGTATCTCTGGTATGTACAAATCGGCAGCAATTTTCAAAGGTATAAATCGACAGCAATTTTCGAAGGCAAAGTAATGTGATTAAGATGAGCAATGAGACTAAGCTAAGCAATTAATCTTGTCATGTTCAATAATTCCCATTCTGCAAATGCAGCTAACGCTGTCTAAGTCCCCTATAAAATACAAAATACAATGGTTAACTTTCTTAGTTATCATTAGGTTTCTCAAAGGAGGTACTTGTTGTTGTGGAAAATTGTTCGCGTATACTATTTTCTTGTAGAACAAGTAACAAATTAAGATATGTAATCAACACAAGAAACATATAAGATCACGAAATCATGCAAATACATATGCAAGCGTTCTAGCCGACAGAATTTCCTGTCTCTCCTTAAGGAATCTTATTACCCTCTAGTACCCAAGGTTATGGACTGATTCCTCCCATGATAGAAAGGACGTACCTTTTGCGACGTAGCGGTACCTCAAACACCGAAAACCATCAAACACAGCAAACCAGCGAGAACCACACTTGACTCTATTTTCTCTTTGAAAAGAATGCAGAAAAACTAGTTTTGGATTTTAGCAGAGTTTTGGTACAGGAAAAACGTGTATAAAAACTAGAGGGGGTTATGTGCTATTTATAAAATTGAAGAGGTGCATACAAAGGGAGGCGACTCCTCATATGGGTGGTTACACTCCAACCAACACATTGGTTCATTTTAAAATAATGAACCATTGTATCGGTTCGGCCTATGGTAGTTGGACCGATTTGGATATTCCAACCGTCACATCTGTTCGATTCGATTTGGTTCAACTCGGTTTGGTCCAATATTATCGATTACCAACATGGTACATCAAATCGACCGCATTCGCGGCCACGCCTTCCCACAACTTACCAACATGGTACTTCGGAAGAGATTCTCTTGGATCTTTTCCCTTTCATTTTCATTCACACCATTAAAAATCCCCTCAATCCTCCACATGAATGGAGAATGTTGTTGTTGGGTATATGACTCGGGTCTAGCCGGGCCAAGGAAGCACCCCGGCACCGCCCCCAGAGGAGTCAGGCGCGTTAGTGCCAACGCGACCAAAACTGCGCCCGAGCGAGGATCTCGGGTGCGGCGAAGCCCACACTTGCGGACAAAGATTCCAGACGCCGAACGACGACATTTCAATCAAGCGTTGACCAGACCAAGAAACCTTGAAAACGACGCCGCATTCCCCGAAGAGTGGTCACATCATAGTCCTAGGTATAATCATGGATAAATCTCCCAGTCCTAGGTAGAGGTGTGGCCTAAACTTCTGACATGTCAGTAGTCATGTCACCATGTAACTCACCCACCACCATGTAGCCTATAAATATGGCATTTACTCCGACGGTGAGGGGATCGGATTTTGTAGACTCTATCTCTAAAACTATCGACTTCTCTCTCTAAGATATCTCTCTCTCAACCACTTTATCTCACTCCTTTGTTCCTCGACCAATAGTGAATTCTCATTGTTAACTCTTCTCGACCCATTTCCCCAAACCTCACTCCTATACTCAGTTAGGTTCAAACAATTGGCGCCCACCGTGGGGACGAGTAGAAAAGCACTAGAAAATCAACCAATGGCGGAACGTAATCCCAACTCACCTGACAAAGCGATGCCCATCAAGGCAATGACGAACCCAAGGGTGTTCGCGGAAACCAAAAACCTTTACACGGTGCTCATTGAAGAAGAAGAGCCCGAGCTAACAGCCAAGGAAATGAGACAACAATTGGCGAAACAAAACGAAGTCATAGCCGATATGCAAAAAAAAGATGAGTCAAGTCATAGCGCTCATGATGAGCAAGGAGGTCGCGGCAACAACACACATGGAACCAAACGCGCCATTACAGGCGGCAGATGAAGCGCCAGAACCCGTCCTGGCACCAGAACTTGTCCCACTGCCACAACAAGTGCCGCTCGCGTCACCCGCGCGAAGTGCGACAAGAGGAGCCCCGGGTTAGAACAGACCTTAGTTTCTTGGAGCAGCATCTATCCCCGCAGTACCGCCCTCACCCCCCCAGAAGAATCCTCCATCAACCATTTAGCGCGGAAATCATGGCGGAACACCTAAGAGGAATGTCGCCCGCCCTCCCAACATATAACAGGACAACTGACCCGGAGGACCATGTCAGCACGTTTTGCCTCAGAATGCAACTCCATACCAATTCCAACGCGGCGCTATGCAGAACCTTCCCATCAACATTCTTCGGCATACGCCTTGACTGGTACAATAGACTTCCCAATGGAATCATCCGCTCATTCGAAGAGTTCATACTCTTGTTCACCACTAAGTTTGCGTCACAAAAAAGAAGACCACTCCATCTCAAGGCCTTGATCGACATAAGGCAAAAGGATGGGGAAGGCTTACGGGCATTCTACGCCAGATGGTCCAGGGTGGCAATGGCCGTGCGCTACCTCACCCCCGAAACAGCCGCCCATCACCTCATGGACGCCACCACCAACATGGAACTCAAGCGAGCATTGGATGTTCCGCGCAAGTGGATCGAAGCGAAAGCACTAGCCTCGATAACCGCGCAACAGGTGACCCGCTTCCTGAAAAATAATATCCTTGCGCGATTCGGTGTTCCGAACGCGCTCAAATTTGACCATGGAAAGCAGTTCGACTGTGCGGAGGTGATAGACTTTTGCGACCAAGTGGGAGCCATTGCAGGATTCGCGTCGGTGGCCTACCCTCAAGCCAACGGCCAAGCGGAGTCGGCAAACAAGACAATTTTGCACGGCCTACACACCCGCCTTAATGAGGCGAAAGGAAATTGGGCGGACGAGCTTCACACAGTGTTATGGGCGCAGCGCACCACATTCAAAGTGGCGACAGGCGAAACCCCCTTCGCCCTCACATATGGCACAGACGCGATGATCCCCATCGAGACGGCCACACCCACCTACCGAATCACGATGTATGATGAGGAGAGTAATGACCAAGCGCGGCTTCTAGATTTAGAGCTGGCACAAGAGTGACGAGAATTGGCGGCCATCAGGCTACCCGCCACTAAGGAACAAGTAGCAAAGTACTACAAAGCAAAGCTAGTTCCACACAAGCTGGTCCTAGGAGACCAAGTGCTTAGGCGGAACTTCCGCCCCGACCCCAAACATAGGAAACTTGCCTCAACATGGGAAGTCCCTTACCTAGTCCGCGAGGTTATTGGCGCCAACACATTCAAGCTCAGCGAGTTGGTGGGCACGAAAATCCCAATGACGTGGAATGCGCAAAACCTCAGGAAATACTGCCGCTTCACCTGATGTGTATCTTGTTCACAGCAGCGCCTTTTGCGCGAAGAATCATGAAATAAATGCCAAGTTTGACAGAACATGTATAGCAATAATCATGAATTATTCGCGCCACCGCTCCACGAGAGAAACATACAAAGCGTCAATCACCAATTGCGCAAAAGTTCTACGGAACATGTATAGCAATAATCATGAATTATTCGCGCCACCGCTCCACGAGAGCAAAACATACAAAGCGTCAATCACGAATTGCGCAAAGTTTCTATGGAACACGAATAACAATAATCATGAATTATTTGCGCCACCGCGCCACGAGCAAAAAAAACACACATACAAAGCGTCAATCATGAATTGCGCGTCACACGAGAGT